TTTCATCACGGCGCAACAATTTTTATGCCACTAAATTGATTCATTATAATTAGTCTAAAAATTAAGTTTAGTAACGCTGTATTTGCTTAATACTTTGAATGCATATTCTTATTTAAATTTATATAAAAAAAACAAGTTTAAAACTAATTTTAAATTAGTTAAAAAATTAATTATCAACAGTTAGAACTCGAAGTACCGAAATCCTATAAAATTAATGTAATAAATTTTCTATGTCCTAACAATAATTAAACCATTAACCAAAAATCACCATGGATTCGGAATTGATTTAATTATAAGTAGTCAAACTTATATTTGAGAATTATGCAGTATTAAATTTTCATAATCTAACGGTTTTAAAAATTTGTAAAAGGTTTTTCCTAGAAGAGAAAAAAAATAAATTTCAACCAGTTAATTCTATAAAACGATTTAATTGGTTAGAATATGTTGTAAATCTACCATATGTACAGTATAATCCATAAAGTTTAAAATTAACGATTCTAAAATCATTTAGTACCAAGCTCTTCATTCGCCAGGATTCGATTTTAAACCGATAAAATGGAGAATAAATGCCTAATAAATATAATACCTGGTTTTCTAAACTACATAGGCATTAGCCTTTGTGAATGTTTTGGTGTATTTGATAAATGCCGTACGAAAACCGTGAAATATTAAAGATAAGCATTTTTTTTTTTCTGGTTCTGGAATTCCTGATCATAAAGTTCAATAAATTATCTTAAATAAATCGTTTTTAATAATTAGATCAATTTTATTAATTGGAAGAACTTTGATAACAGTAAGTTTCAAAGAATTTATTTTTAAGAAAAATCACCGGGACTGACTTTTAACGTTCTAAATGAAATTATCATGTTTAATACAATGCTCATTGCATTTCAATATTTCTATATGCACATTTTAGAGTTGAATTTTGCGCAGACGAAAAACTTATACATGACGTAAGAGAATTTTATATTCTTTTTCGTAAATTTATATCTACAGTAAGTATATGATAATGTTTAGTCGAATTTTCTAACAAAGTTTTCGAATAATGAAATTTGATTCATAAAAAATTCTTAAAACCTAGACAATGATTGCTTGAATTCCTAGTGTGAATATAATGATCATTAGCACGCCTACTTTTAACCCATTCTTTTTAAATTACGTATTGTTGTATTTAATTCTTTCGTTTATGTATTTGTAAAAAATTTTAAATGAAAGCAGAAGGTTTTTATTGAGTAAAAATGAAGTCGCCTCAACGTCGGCGCTCTACACTTTCGCAATGTAACTAAAAAAATGCCAAATCAATAAAACTCTATTTAATTAAAGCTGCGCAATTACGAGAAATTGTGTAGTAAAAAAAATAACCATGTTAAAACGGCGAAACGAAAATATCGCGAGGTATTAAAGAAAGATTTTAAGGTGTATGTATGCAAAACAAGAAGGGGCGTGAATGGTATATTGAGCTGTTTAAGGATTTCCGAATTGTATTTATAAAAAAAATTAATAATTAGGACAGCCTGGCATCTTGTCATCCTGCCAACCTGGCATCCTAACAACCTGGCACCGTGACAACCTGGCAAAATGATCTTCAAAGGACTAACTGCAAATATCGAAAACAATTTACATACAAAATTATGGTGTCTCTGGGCGAAATTATATTCAATGTACTATTCCTCGATCAAATTATTAGAATTCTTTAATGGCTTCATAGGGATTCTTGTGTTAAATAGATATTTTTAAAGATACTTAGAATTATTCATCGCATTGAGATAATTAATAAATTGAAGACGTTGGTTTCCATTTCCATTGATGATAGAAAGATGATTACATAATAATGCATAATTTGCTGCGCAATAAACTTTTATTTTATGACAGTTCACGCAAGAATTGGGGTAATGAACATGTAATAAATAGCAGAAGTGTTGTAATTTTTTGTTGCGTCTTTTAACTACTCTCCGCCCTACCAACACTCGTCTACCATTAATATTTAATGGACAGGTTGGGTGTCGTTAACTTGGTGAATATCGTAATGATTGTTCTATCTTAGTTCAATGCGCCGACCTACATATAATTTCGTCAGCGTGGTCTCAATGACCTTAAATTGTCCACAGTTATTATCGAAAAAAGTCACTATTCCACTTTCTGTTTTGATATCACTATTAACCTCATTCTAAAAAGATAAAATCTTCACGAATTTCATTCAACATTCCTGAAGCTTGAAACTAAATCATTTTATTATTGACAAAGAAGTTTACTAATCAACAAAATACATTTAAGGAATTAAAAGATTTAAAGATTTTCAAGTGGAATGTTTTATGAAAATGAAATAAAATAAATAAAGTATCTTTTTAAAATTTGTCACTCTGAAATATTCAAATATTTATGTAATAAATAGACCTCTAACTTTTAAACAACTAACTCGATGTTTGCTGGCATTTAATGTTGTGATTACTGCACTTTTCACAAAGAGGAGATAAATGAGGTTTTTTGTACTTAGTTCTCCTATTGTGGAGATGTCGGTAACTCACCAGTTTATTGTTAACATTATTACAATCCTTACAATACTGCATAAAATAATCACCACGGTTCAGATCTGACGCGAGAACGCCATCCAGATATTTTTGGAGTAAAACCCACGTATAAGAGCTGGTCCACTTTTTCGTGCATGTATCACGGTTGCAGTCCCATTCTCCAAAAACACGATACCATTTTTTCTTTTCTTCATCTTCATATATTAAACGTTCGAAGAAGTAAGGCCCATAACTGGTCAGCTCGTTGTATTTATTATCGCAGGTTCTACACTTTTGTTCGATATAGTCGCCTTTGACCAGGTCTTCAGAAGTTCCTTCTTGGTTCTTTCCAATTAAAATCCAAGTCGAACCAGTCCATTCATTTTGACAACTGTCAGACGAGCAAGTCCATTTTGCGAGAACACGTTTGCAGTCCTTCTTTTTTGGGTTTACCATTTTAGTGGACGACACCTTCGTGGTGATGTTAATGGTTTAAGTATGAACCATTCAAACCTGAAATTAAAGCCTTATTAAATGTTCATTTACATTACATGGCCCCATTTATGACGGATCTTTTATTATATTTCTATTATTGGGGTTAGTTTGAAGATATAATGGGTATTATTTAGCCGCTGTGTGACAAATAATAGACTACATTCACTCACAATAACAATTCTATTTTCAAGGTAACACCCATTTTTTTTTAAAGTTCGATAGAGACAATTACATAATATTGAAGATTGTTGAGTTATATGTTCTGTAAAAAATAATGGTCAAGTGGTTAAGTCTAATATTTTAAATTTATTGAGACATAAAGATTTTTTTAAATATGAAAATAGAGTACACAACATAATATTTTAATATATTGACAATTTGAATAATAACATAAGCATTAACGTACCATTAACAAGGGAATTTACGCCCTTTCGGCACGTGAACTAACGGTTGGCCAGGAATTATGACCGCTTGCTCATATTTATGTTATTCTGCCATTATTGTTACATGTTCAAAATATGATAAATATATGTATCTGAAGGTAGTAACATAACAACAAGACATCTACTAAATTGTGAAATAAAAGGAGGTAAGTGTGTGAGGACGGTAAACAATATTTCTTTTAAGGTGGCGTTCAAGGATTCTGAAGAGAAGAGATTGTCGATCAGAAAACAAAAAAAAATTTACAAAACAAGGTATTACTTATTTAGTACATTACGTAAGTATTGGTGCGTCAGACATGGACGCAGCAAATTTCAATTAATCGTCCGATATTCAAAAATTTTGTAATCGCTTAACAAAAAGCAATTCGAAGTACTTTTACCAAAATTCAAAATCTATTAATATAGTTAAGTAATAATTTATTGCCGATTATATTTTATATCATGAATTCTTATGACTTGATGCAACTTCGATTTTTCGGTTCACGTAACATTGAAATTTTAAAATCGACGGGAGTTTATTAATGATTATTTTTTATTAATAAAAAAGTTTATATATAAATATTATGCCATCTGATTGGTCAATATTTAAGGGGAAAAGGCCGTGCAAAGTAAATTTTCAGATTCTGTGACCCGGTCGTGTTAGTTTACGAAAATTCAGGATTTTTTTATAGTAAGATTTTATCATGTGACCTTACATAATAAAATCGGCATATCAGATTTTGTTTAAAAGAAAGCGGCGAAAGATGATTTACATAGATTTATCTTTATTTGTGTAATATAAGATTTATTTGTGTGATATAACATATGAAAAAGAAAAAAAAAAAAAAAAACCGGGTGACGGTGTCAATTTTAAAATTTTATCTAAATTTTCTTTGCCCGGCCTCCTATTATACGACAATCACATTTCATTACAAAATCTTAACTCCGTCAAAGTGCCTATTATATATGTAAAAATAAGTTACAATTCTAAAAATTCTAAAGATTGGAAGGATTACCGTTGATAAGGAACCAAAAAAAAGATTTTTTTTTGGAAATATATCGATTCTATATTTATCACCTGACTGGTGGGGAGCAGATTTTGAAATGAAGTTTAACCCATCAAAAACATTAGTTAGAGAAAAATTTCAGCACAATGTATTGCTTGGGAAGCTGCATGAAATTAATGAGTTATAAGAAAGGAATTATACATTACGAACGATAATACAATAAAGCTTTAATTTACCAATAAAATTACACTTTATAGTCACATTATAAACTTTTATATATAAACTTTTTTTTGTTAAAATTTGAAAAAGTGACCCGGCCGGGTGACGTGAACCGAAAAATCGAAGTTGCATGGCCTTATCAGTGTTTGTGAAGAAATTAAAAGCAACAAATAAAAAAAGACATTTAACTTCTTTAGAATTAATTGCTGCAATTATGAATTTTCAACCAAGACAGAAATAAAAAGTTTATTTAAGTAATTACAAACTGTTTTTGCTAAAAGCTACTCTATTACAGTGATTACTTAAATTCAAATTTAGAAACGAAAATAGAGCGTTTCATTTTTTATTTTTTAGAAATTCGTTACTAAAATATAAATAATATAAGTATACTATGAATTTTAAATCAAAACAGACAAATATAAACATACCAGATAAATCTGCATAAGTATCTATTTGGAGAGAATCACCGATTAGTGAATCGGAATCAGAATTACTATTTTCTATATTTTCAGTTACATCTTTCATCTTTATGTCATCTATGTCTACATTTATAAAAAAACAAAAAAATTAAAAAAATTAATATTAAATAATAATAAGGATTTCTGAATTTAAAAAATTACATACTTTCAGAAGATTTATCTACAATACTTTTTCCAAAGCCCATCTTCAAGAATTCTTCTAATACTCTTTTAATAGTTGGTCTTTGTTTAGGATTCGGATTCCAGCATCTTTTATAAAGTTTTTCATAACTTTTGGGAGTACCTTTTATAGTAGTTTCACGAACTTTATAAATAGTAATGGCATTAATAAGATCATTATTATAACTAAACCTATCTTTAAATGGAGGATATCCACTAGAAATTTCCCACATTAATACACCATAACTATAAATATCCGAAGGTTTAATGTATTGAAAATTATTGTCTGCGAGTATTTGTGGTTCCGTATAGGCAACTTTACCAAAAAGTCCAATATGCATTGTGGAATTGTTTTCAATTTTTGAAATACCAAAATCTGTAATCTTAGCATTATTTTCATGAATAACTATATTTTTAGAATGCTAAAATAAAATAAATCATTAATAATTTTTTCTAAATTTGACAATTTTATCAAACAAAATAAATAAACGAAACGTATTTACAAGATCTCTATGTAAAACATTTTCATTATGCAAATAATTTAATCCATCTGCAATTTGGAATGCTAATTTTTTTTTATCATTCCAAGTTAACGTTCCAAAATTATTCTCAAGGTAACTTTGAAGATTACCACCATTTGCATATTCCATTACAAAATAAAGTTCATTTGTAGTTTGATCTGTATAAGTAATTAAAAATTTTGAAAATTATTATTTTTTATTTTTTTATTTTTTTTTAAAAAATAAAGAATTCAAACTAAGCAATTACCTTGACTAATACCTAAAAAACGTATAATTCGATTACTATAATTAAGATGCATATGTATTTTTATTTCATAAATAAATGCATTTAATATCTCATCGTTACATCTAAATACTTTTGTATTCGTTAATTTTTTATAAACAATATCATCATTTGTTTTTATCCAAGTTGCTTTTAAAATACTTCCGAAACCTCCTTCTTCAAGTGGTTTTGAATTAATTAAGTCATCCAATGGTATGATTTTAACTTTATTCTTCAAGGATTTATTGATCAATTCAATTATATTAATACTCACTTCAATTTTTTTTTTTTTTTTATAAAAATAGTTAGTATAAATAATATAAAGTTATGAAAATAAATATTAAAGTAATACTTACTTTTAACTGGTTCTTCTATAAAGTTAATGTTTGAGAATTCTTCTAATATTTCCATTATAGTAGGTCTTTGCTCAGGTTCTTGATCCCAACATCTTTTATAAAGTTTTTCATAATTTTCAGGAGTATTCGGTATAGTTTTCTCACGTGTTTTATTTATTATAGCATTAGCAATTAGTAAGTCGCTATCATAATTTCTAAACGGAGGATAACCACTAGAAATCTCCCACATTAATACACCATAACTATAAATATCTGAAGGTTTAACATATGGAAATTTTAGATTTCTAAGTATTTGAGGATCTACATATGCAATTTTACCACATTGTCCCATATATATAGTAGAATTATTTTCAATTTGTGAAATACCAAAATCTGTAATTTTAGCATTATTATTATGAATAACAATATTTCTAGAATGCTAAATAAATAAAAAAATTTAAATAAATTAATATTATTAATATCATAAAGTAAATAAATAAAGAAAATAATATTTACAAGATCTTTATGTAAAATATTTTCATTATGCAAATAATTTAATCCATTTGCAATTTGAAATGCTAATGTTTTTTTATCATTCCAAGTTAAATTATTAAAATTATTTTTAAGGTAATTTTGAAGATCACCACCATTAGCATATTGCATTACAAGTAGATATTCATTTGTATTTGGATCTATATTTTAATTAATAAATTATTATTTCTTTATAAAAAAAAAAATAATAATATAATATATTATTTACCTTGACTAATTCCTAAACAGTGTATAATTTGATCACAATAATTAATATATAAATGAATTTTTAATTCATGAATAAAAGCATCTAATAAATTATGCTTAAGTGAACTTGTATTTATTATTCTTTTATATGTAACATAATTACCAGTTTTTAACCAAGTTACTCTTATAATACTTCCAAAACCTCCTTTATCAAGTTGTTCAGGATCAGTAAATTCATTAAAAGATATAAATTTAACTTGATTATTTAAAGTTTTATTAATAAATTCAATCGTTTTATTACTTTGATTTGTATTTAAATTAACTTCTTCATATTTTCCAAAGCATTTTTCAGATTTATTTGCATTTATTGCTAATCTTTGATACCATTCAGCTGCTTTTTCCAAATCCTCTTTAATTCCTATACCATGCTCATAACATTTAACTAAATAATATTGTGCAAGTTTATTTTCATTTTCTGCAGATTTTTGATACCAATAAAATCCTTTTTTAAGATCTTTTTTAATTCCAATACCATTTTGATAAAAATATCCTAATTTGTATTGTGCATTTTCATTTTTATTTTCTGCAGATTTTTGATACCAATAAAAAGCTTTTTTTAAATCTTTTTTAATATTTATACCTTCTTCATAAAAAAATCCTAAATTATATTGTACAAATTTATTATCATTTTCTGCTGATATTTCATACCATTTAAAAGCTTCAATAATATTTTTTTCAGTTCCCAAACCATATTGATAACAAGTAGCTAAATTGCTTTGTGCAATATTATTTTTATTTTCTGCTGATTTTAAATACCAATAAAATGCTTTTTCTAAATTTTTTTCTATATTTATACCTTTTTCATATAAGTATCCTAAATCATTTTGTGCATTACTATATTCTTGTTTAGCTGAATTTTCATACCATTCTAATGCTTTATTAATATCTTTATTAATTCCTTTTCCATAATAATAATAATTACCTAAAATATATTGTGCAATTTTATTTCCATTAATAGCTGATTTTTGATACCAAAAAAATGCTTTTTTTAAATCCTTTTCAATGTCTATACCATTTTCATAAAAGAATCCTAATTTATTTTGTGCATCACTATATTCTAATTTTGCAGATTTTTCATATAATTCAAATGCTTTAACTTTATTTTCTTTAATTTTCCATCCATTTTGATAACATTCAGCTAAATAATATTGTGCAAACTTATTTTCATTTTCTACAGATTTATGATACCAATAAAATGCTTTTTCTAAATCTTTTTCAATTCCCCATCCATTTTCATAACAATTGGCTAAATTATATTGTGCATTATTATTATTTTGATCAGCTGATTTTTGATACCAATAAAATGCATTTTTTAAATCTTTTTCAATTCCCCATCCATTTTCATAACAATTCGCTAAATTATATTGTGAATTATTATTATTTTGATCAGCTGATTTTTGATACCAATAAAATGCATTTTTTAAATCTTTTTCAATTCCCCATCCATTTTTATAACAATTGGCTAAATTATATTGTGCATCACTATTATTTTGATTAGCTGATTCTTGATACCAATAAAATGCATATTTTAAATCTTTTTCAATTTCCCAACCATTTTCATAACAATTGGCTAAATTATATTGTGCATTTGTATTATTACTTTCTGCTAATATTTGTAAAGAATAAAATGCTTCTTTATTACCATTTTTTACTGACTTTTGATACAAATCAATTGCTTTATCTATATTTTTTTCAATTATCCATCCATTTTGATAAAATTTGGCTAAACTATATTGTGCAATTTTATGATCATTTTTTGCTAATTTTTGTAAATAATTAAATGCTTTTTTATTACCATTTTTTACTGATTCTTGATACCAATAAAATGCATATTTTAAATCTTTTTCAATTTCCCATCCATTTTCATAATAAATAGCCAAATTATATTGTGCTTTACTATTATTTTGATTTGCTAATTTTTGATACCAATAAAATGCATTTTTTAAATCATTTTTCTCTCCCCATCCATTTTTATAATATTTGGCTAAATTAAATTATGCATTTTTATTATTTAATTTAGCTAATGATTGATACAAATAAAATGCTTTTTCTAAATCTTTTTCAATTCCCCATCCATTTTCATAACAAATAGCTAAATTAAATTGTGCATTAATATTATTTTGATTAGCTAATTTTTGATACCAATAAAATGCTTTTTTTAAATCTATTTCAATTCCCCATCCATTTTCATAACAAATAGCTAAATTATATTGTGCATCACTATTATTTTGATCAGCTGATATTTGATACCAATAAAATGCTTTTTTAAAATTCTCTTTAATTCCCCATCCATTTTTATAACAATTGGCTAAATTATATTGTGCATTACTATTATTTTGATTAGCTAATTTTTGATACCAATAAAATGCTTTTTTTAAATCTTTTTTAACTCCCCTTCCATTTTTATAACAAATAGCTAAATTATATTGTGCATCACTATTATTTAGATCAGCTGATTTTTGATACCAATTAAATGCTCTTTCTAAATTTACTTTAATTCCCCATCCATTTTGATAACAGTTAGCTAAATTATATTGTGCATCACTATTATTTTGATTAGCTGATATTTGATACCAATAAAATGCTTTTTTTAAATCGATTTCAATTCCCCATCCATTTTTATAACAATTAGCTAAATTATATTGTATATTATTATTTTGACTATTAGATTTTTGATACCAATAAAATGCTTTTTCTAAATCTTTTTCAATTCCCCACCCATTTTCATAACAGTTAGCTAAATTATATTGTGCATCACTATTATTTTGACTATTAGATTTTTGATACCAATAAAATGCTTTTTTTAAATCTTTTTTAACTCCCTTTCCATTTTCATAACAATTAGCTAAATTATATTGTGCATCACTATTATTTTGATTAGCTAATTTTTGATGCCAATAAATTGCTTTTTTTAAATCTTTTTCAACTCCCCATCCATTTTCATAGCAAATAGCTAAATTATATTGTGCATCACTATTATTCAAATAAGCTGATTCTTGATACCAATTAAATGCTTTTTCTAAATTTACTTCAATTCCCCATCCATTTTGATAACAGTTGGCTAAATTATATTGTGCATTATTATTATTTTGTTTAGCTGATATTTGATACCAATAAAATGCTTTTTCTAAATCTTTTTCAATTCCCCATCCATTTTCATAACAGTTAGCTAAATTATATTGTGCATCACTATTATTTTGACTATTAGATTTTTGATACCAATAAAATGCTTTTTTTAAATCTTTTTCAATTCCCCATCCATTTTCATAACAATTAGCTAAATTATATTGTGCATCACTATTATTTTGATTAGCTGATTCTTGATACCAATAAAATGCATTTTTTAAATCTTTTTCATTTTTATAACAGTTAGCTAAATTATATTGTGCATTACTATTATTTTGTTTAGCCGATTTTTGATACCAATAAAATGCATTTTTTAAATCTTTTTCAATTCCCCATCCATTTTCATAAAAGTTAGCTAAATTATATTGTGCATTATTATTATTTTGTTTAGCTGATTCTTGATACCAATAAAATGCTTTTTTTAAATCCTTTTTAATATCCCATCCATGATGATAACGTTCAGCTAAGTGATACTGTGCGTTACCATTACTCTGATTAGCTGATTTATGATACGGTATAAAATGAATACTAAAATTATATTATGTTTTATTAGTTATAAAAGTTAAATTAATTAATAATAAAACTAAATAACTTACAATATATGAATATCATTGATTATTAAATAATTTTAAAAAAAATTTAGTTAATTTAAATTAGTTAAATCAGAAAATCAATAGAAAAAACTTACAATCTATAATCATTTCAAGTTTAATTTAAAAAGATATATGTTTGAAGTATCATAAATATTTATTTAAATAAAGAATGTAGTTAGAGTCAATGGAAGATATTTAAAATAAATTATCGTCGCGGGTGTCACAAGTTTTTTTTTTTTGCATGTCATCGGGTAATGAAATGGCACGTGTAACAAATATGACAAGCGACAACACAGCAAGTTATTATTTAACAAACTTTAATCATGCTTACCGTCTTTATTGTCCTCATTCATTATGAGATCAAAAAAAAAAAAGATTTTTTTTATTAATTTAACTTTTGGACACAGATAAATAGGGCCCTGATTACAAAGATCCAACGTTGCGCTACACAATTTCCAAACTTGATTTTAGTTTAGTTTTGGCGTTTCACGATACCTTTCCTTTTATATTTTTCGATTTATAAGAAAAGAAATTTCCTTCGTAGACACAACACACTTGTTAAACATAAATTTATCGAAATGTCATTTCGAGATGGTTTCTTTGGATAAATCAAACTACCCAACATATACAACTTTACAAATCGTTTCATCAAACCTACAAGTTGCAACCACTACATCATGTAAAATAACACTTCTTCCATCTGAAATATTAATACAAATTTGTTCATACTTAACTCCTTATGAATTACTTTTACTAAGTGAGACGTGTGTTAGATTCAAGAAATTTCTTGATGCACCAAAATCTTCTACTACACAGGAGATATGGAAAAATTCTAAGAAAGCGTTCGTGTCATCAGACGATGAGGATGATGATGACATGAACCCACCGGAAGGGATGTGTAAACGGGATTATTTTAAATTATTGTATTATAAGGAGTGCTCGTTTTGTGAAAATAAGGATAAATATTTGGGTAGAATTTTTTGGCAATTTAAAGTTCGTTGTTGTTCAACGTGTTTAATGAAAAACACGATAAGGTATGGATGGCACCTTTTTTGTTTTCGCATTCTAAAAAAAAAAAAAAAAATTATTTATTTTTGAAATTCCTTAACGTTAAACTTTATTTCTTTCCTCCTCCCTTAAAATATATATTTATATATTTTTTAGCCTTCGAGAATTGTTAACGAAATATGTTGACATGCCAGAAAATTTGATCTTAACGATTCCATACATCTGTTATAATTATACGCATTACTTTTGGACAAACAGCATCAAATACATTTACATAAAATACCTTATCTATTTAAAATCCACCGCACTTCGTTCACCACAATTTCATTCATTCGTGGATTCCCTTAAATCGAATTTTGAATCCGTGATGAATTATGCTAGAGAAAAAGAACGAGTGCAAGAGAAAAAAGAAATGGAGTATAGAAAAAGATATCGAAGACCATTATTGAGTCGATTACAACGAATTAGTTTTAAAAAAATTGTACTTCCAATTTCGAGGTTAGAACGTGAAATGTTGAGAATTAAAGAAAGATTAACAACAAGAGAAAAATTTAAAAGTTTAAAGCAAAGATTTGATAGATTTGATGAAAGAACTTTCTTGGAAAATAAGCAAGTTGTTAAACAGATATCACGTATCAAGCATAATAAGAAAAGGAGAGGTCAAAAAAATCAAAATGGTGAAACAATAAAGAGATGCAAAGATAATCGAAAGAAATTTTCACATAAATATGGATAAAGAATTTGAATATAAACTTTATTAACGTGGCGTTGTTAATACGAACGCAAAGATCTTATCACAGAACCTATACTCAATATACTAAATGTTAAAAAGGATTCTGTTTGTTTTAGTTAAAGTAATTGACATTAAATAAAAAAAAATATATATATATAGCTTTGTTTTCCTTTTTTTTTTTTATTTTTATTTTTTTTTTTTGATACCCCTTTTTTATTTTACATCGTAATAAGGCCTTTTTTTTCGTTACGATACTGTGTACTGTTAAACAAATATTTCTCTATTTTCTTCAAATTCTTGTTTTAACTTCTCAATTGACATAGTTTCGATCTAAATAATATTAAAAAGAAAATTAATAAACGGACTTTATCAAAAAGTAAAAGATAGAAAACGAAAAATTTACCCCTATCATTTCATTCTCAACAGACGGTTCGTAATTCTCATCAATTACAACAAAATGACGATATTTATCGTAATGAACTTTTATTAAACACTCCATTGAACCAAATGTAATTCTATCCGAATCCATATCATAATCTTCCAATGACTATATAACAACGGCAAAAAAAAGATTAATGTCTCAAAGTATATAAAGAGAATATGATCATTTAGTAGATATTTTTATTCACCATTTCATTTGGTAGCAAATATTTAATTTTACCAGAAATAAGTCCATCCACTATCCCTTTAAAAGCTTTTTCTAATCTATAAATATAAATAAATAAATAAATAAATTTATATATATATATAAAAATTAACGATCAATACATAATAATTTCTATATTTAACAATCAAGTAAAATTGAAGCATACCTTGTTTTCATGAACTCATTATCAGATAAAAAAGTCAATAATCTTTGAAGAAAACTTAAAATATTGGGATGAATCTTGAAATCCCACCCACTAACCTAAATTATAAATAAATCAATTAATTTATCGTTTACAAACAATAAATAATTTCAAAATAGTTTCAAGAAAACTTTACCGCATTTGTAAAGCTCAAGATTTTATCAACGATGTTATCAGTACTCTTGATAGATACCGAAGTTAATAGAATAACCCCACCTAAGATTATCAAAAATAATAATCTTATTAATAAATTCAACATTCATCCTGATTGTTAATTATAGATTACTTGCCCATCTTAAAGATCTCTCGAAGTGTTAATGTAGTATCTTCTTTTATGATTAAGAAAAATTTAATACATTTGTATTTATAAATAATGTAATTTTTAAAAGAAAATCCTCGTGTGAGCTCATTTTGATGAAACTAAAATATATGAAATAAAATTTAACAATTTTCCGTGAGAAAATTTTATTAACAAAAAAAAAAAAAAAAGCGAGGAAAAGACTAATATTAACTTACAATCACACAATCCATACTAGGATCCTTTGCTAACACTTCATTTCCACCCATCTCTTTTAAGTAAGCAATTACTCTTTGACTTTCAACATACGCAGATCCAACAACAGTAAAGTTCAGACCATCAAATTCATTTAAATTAACTGAATATTTCACAGGCTCATTCGCAACAATGGGTTTAGATATCTCTTTAGGTATAGTATTCGTTGGGCGTACGGATTGTATATTTGGTAGCATGTTCTTTTGATGCACTTTAAACTGATCTATACCGGCATAACCTTTGTGTCTTTTAGGTGATGGAAATTGTATATCCATGTCATCCTTATTTTGATGAACACTTGCCTGCGTTGGGCGTGATGATGATGAAGGAACGCTGTATTTTTTTGTTGGAGATTGCAACTCCAAATTACTAGTAGTCTCATTATTTGGATTGAAACTTTTTTGAATAGGTCGACGTGGTGGTGATATCGAAATTGGTGGTAAATTATTCCGTTGCGCTTCATGGTATGTCAACTGTTTAGTAGATTTAGAAGATTTGTACTTTTTTGTTGAAGAAGGCTGCGATTTCAAATAATTAGATAATTCGTTCTTTGGTAATTGAAGTACAAAGTAAAGATCATTAACATTACTTGGTCTATCTACACCAAGAAGTTCACTAGATGTTTCTGAAGTTGGTAATAAATAAAGTGTCAAATTTTCAATATTTATTACTCCAACCTAGTATGAATTAAAAAATTATTTTATAATTAGTTATAGAAAGAAAAAAACTGAATCATTATAAATAATTATACTCACCTTAAACCTTTTTAATAGAAAAGATTGAAGTCTATCCAATTCTGACATTTCATCTTTTATGGAAGTTGAAATAGTCACGAGATATATAGGGAATTTGTTAAATGAATCCTTAAGAAACCCTTCTAAATCGCTATACATTATAAATCGATTGATAACTAATTTGGATTGATTCCTATTTTTTTTTTTTTTTTTTTTTTTTTTAAAAAAAAAAAATTCCTTAATATCGCTCAAGTTCGTATAAAAATAAAAGATTAATAATAAAATTAATTAATTCAAACTTACAAGCAAGGAAAATTTTCCATTGAATCCTCAGTATAATTTGTAATTTGTACCTTTCCTACATTCATTTCTTCTTCATTTCTTATCCTACATATAATTCCATACCATTTGGGTGGTTTATTTTTGAAATTAATTGATCGATCACCAGGTCCAAATGGAGGCAACCTTACTTCCAACGGCATTGTAACCGAGTTTGAATCATCCTTTTTCTTATTATGTGTATTATTCGGATAGGCATTATTCGACGCATCTCCTTTTGAAATTTTAAAAGCGGTGGGAAGACTGTATTTTGAACCATTAGAAAACTAGATAATCAAATATAATTAATATCAAACGAGAATTTTTTAAAAAAAAAAAAATTAACTAGAATTTGATAAATACCCTTTTATAATTAATCGTTTTTGCATCTTTTTTGGCAACTACCCTCTGATTACTGGATTTAGTCGTCGTTGATGAATCACCATCACGCTCGCCTTTCTTTAATTTATTCGGTTCTTGACGTCCTCTCACGCTTAATTTATACTCGTGTAATTTTTCCTTACAATTATTCAAGTTTTGAGATGGTTCCCACGTTCTTTCATCATAACCTATAGCAAAAGTTCTTTTTCAATACTTTAAACAAGGTTACCAATGTAGTAAATAATTGTATTGCTTTACCTTTCCATTTGACACGGTAATAGTTTTTACCATCTACATACTTATGGTTTTCTATTGCTTCTACTTCATATTCGTCCCCTGAAAGATCACTTTCTAACTTACGTTTTTTACTTTCGCTGTTGTCTTCAGCTCTACGTTTTTTATTATATTCCATTTTTACCTTTCGCGAAATTTTTGGCGCAAAGGTACCAATTTCCGCATTTATGCATTTTGGAAATGATCAGATGCACAACAATATACTCGGTTTGATTGGTTTAACCCTAATTAAAAACTTGTTCGATCATCCGACTTTCTTTTCACAAAAATTCACTAGCGTTTTGTAATTTTTATTAATGAGATAATTAGGTTTAAATTTGTTTTTGATGATTGATTTACTTAGATCTCAAGAAATTAAAAAATACAAACACGTCACAATCAGCCAACAAAAACTTTAAAGCATAATAAGCTTAATAATATCTTGATTTAGAAATCAGATAATGCGAAGACCAGTACAAATGACAAAAAAAAAAAAAAATTTCGAAATAAAAATTGATAAATTAAATTCACATGCATGCTTCTCTTTAAGCGCATATGTATATATTGGGAGCAAGACCGAAAAATGCTAACAGAAAAGACAATTAGCATATAATAATATTAAACCATTAAAACAATATGTTAAGAACAATATCGGGCTATGCTGATGAATTGATGATAAGTTTAATATGTTATGATTTCTTATGAAATCATCATCAGAGGTGAATTAATAGAAGAAAAAAGGCAACGAGTCTAGCTTAGTTATCCGCACTATATGGCCCATCTAGAAATTTACATGTAAAATTTCGACTTTAAATGCTTTACAATGAAATGATTAAATAAATTTTAAGCATGTTCGAGTAACATGAATGATCGGCACAATTAGCGTATTGGCCAAAATGGGAATCATTCGATCATTTCCTATTTTGATACTTGGTTTAAAAGCTTGTTGGCCTAATTTCTAATGCTTTGACAATCATAACAATTACGATCTCGTTGATCAAAAAACCTTAGTTCGCACTCTTTCAATTCTACGGTAGCTCGAATAGAGCAAAGTGATAGTAATAAAAATTAGATGAAATTTACCTTTCTTTAACGTTACACTTATACCTTTCGCATATTAATATAATAATTATAAATTTTCTTGTAGAAATCTTGCTGCGTCGAAAATCCGTATTGATCTAAAGTCATCCACTGTAGTATGAGGATTGTAATCAAGCTGACGAATTCACTGGCGTCACTACAATATTTGTGCGCGAAGGTAGAATAACAAAAAATATATTATCTGATCCTTTATTGATGCTATGCTTCCTAATTTGTCTCAAGATGAACTTATGGATCAACTCTTAGATCTGCTAAAAACAATTGAGTTTGGTTGAAATACCTATGCCGAAAAGCACGTAAAAATGAAGAATTTGAAGTTTAATTGTAGAAGAATGCAGTAGCGGAATCATTTGCTTGGCCCAAAATTTAAATATCAAATTCTTTTGATGAGAGAAATTATGAACGATATTGGAATTACAACTGTGGTAGTAATTAATTTCTTTTATCGCGTTTCTTATCACTCATCAAGTAACAGATGTCCCAATAAATGCTTTATTTTCTCCAAATATTAAATTCATTCTTTTTCTCTTCTAGAACAAAAAGATTAGCGCAATACGAGATCACGTGTGAAATTAATAGCGTGACTCGTTGCATAAGTGAACAAGTACGATGCCGATCTTATCAATATTTGAAAAAATGTTTCTTAGATCTCTTTCTCAAAAATTCAATTCACCTTATATTAAAAATATTAAAAATTATGCTACAACGGCAAAGCAACAACCAGAACCATCAGTTTATATGGTATTTAATCGAGAAATGAAAAGAATACAAAGGGATCGTGCTTCGATGGATGTTGAAAATAGTAGGCAAGTCGATTATCTTAAAGATGAAGTCGCTTATAGAATCGTTGATAGGTTGTTGGTAAAATCTTAAAATAAATCTCCCTTTAAATGAATTTCATAATTTGTAACTATAATTTATATTTGTTTCAGGACATTAAAAGAAAATTTAATACAATTGTGGATTTAGGTAGTGGGTGCGGGCATATCATCAAGCATGTTGATAAAGACATGATGAAAAGGTTAATGATGTGTGATATGTCATCAAAAATGTTGGAAAGAGACAGATTTGTCGATTATGATGTTGAAGTTGAGAGAATTGTCGTTGATGAAGAATCATTACCTTTTGAAGAGAATTCTTTAGAAGCAGTTTTAAGCAATCTTTCTTTACATTGGGTCAACGATTTACTTGGTACCATGATTCAGATTCGTAAATCATTAAAACCCGATGGAGTATTTATTGCATCAATGTTTGGTGGTGATACATTGTTTGAACTTAGAACATCAATGCAACTCGCAGAGTTGGAAAGGGAAGGTGGTATTTCGCCTAGAGTATCTCCAATGACTGAAGTACGAGATGTTGGAAGTTTATTGTCTCGTGCGGGATTCACTTTGACAACTATAGATATTGATGATATTACTGTGAATTTTCCTAGCATGTTTGAGTTGATGAATGATTTGAGAACCATGGGTGAAAATAATGCCGTATTGACCAGGAGACCATTCCTTAAAAGAGATACAATGATATCCGCCTCTGCCATTTATCAAGGTAATTTTTAAACTTTTTAGAAGATATTATTTAAAAATCATTTGTATTAATTTTTTTAAAAAAAAAATTGATTTTGATCTCAAAGAACTTTACGGAAATTCTGAGTCAATTCCTGCAACTTTTCAGGTAACATGATCATAGGGATTTTTTTTTATTAATTTTTTTATAATCAAATCTTAAATTATTCTTTTCTTTTTATTTCTTATAATAGATAATCTACATGGTAAGTTTGACGTTTTATAACGATGTCTTTTTAGGTCACGTTAATTTATTTTGATCCTTAATCTAGATTGGATGGAAACCCGATATTTCACAACCAAAACCTTTAACTAGAGGATCGGGTCAAACATCATTGAAAGAGATATTTGAAGGTGATAAAGGTGGTAAAGTTGATAATTAAAAATTTGATTTGATGTATATAGTTTTTTTATTTATATCTTTACGAATGATATCATGATCTGGATTCTCGTTTAAATTCTTGTGGTAGACATTTTAAGGAAGAAAGATTCAAAATATTAGATTACTCCATCTTAGTAAATCAAAATCTATTCTAAATATCATTAATATTTGTAAAAATAATTTTGTAATAAATTTATCTTGTTGAAAACGTTAATGCATAAAACTTAAAAACAATAGATTATTATAAACAAAAGAAGGTCTCTTTTGAAACGAATTAAAATGTAAACACAGAAGTCTTAAAGGAAGAGCCATCAAAATTAGATAGGTGTACCTTTAATAATAAAAATATTTGATTTGAATCTTAATGTTAGAAAAGCTTTACAGATTTATCAAACCAAGTAACATTATACTTTAGGATAATAAGATGGGAATTCCTTGACTTATTTCAAAAGATAATATTAACCTCTTATATTTGCAATTAATTTCGTGCTTAGACGATAAGGCTATACAACTTTTACCAAGGGGTGGATTATAATAGACAAACGCGTTATTAATAATCTATCAACCTAAATGAACTTTATAAAGTTATAGAACTTTTTATTGTTTTTTTATAGTTCATTCCGCATACTGTATATGTTGTATTTTGTATAATAACGATTTAAACCGTAATGGTTTCCGCTTGAACCAGTTAGCATTTTATGAAGAGAGTGATTCATACCGGTTCCATAAAGAAACTAATCATGAAAAATTTTCCATAAAGTCTACTAGTTATGGAGGAATATTCGATTATGTGTTACTCCTATTTGCAAACAAACATGACGGAGGAAATATTTAGCAAAATACAATAATTTTTTACTATAGAATGATAACAAAAAAAAAAAAACGGTGATTTATGTTCAGTATTATATGAAAACGGTAGATAAGTTTAAATAACAAGGGTTGGCTAGAACGAGTCGTGATCTATCGATTTCATTAATATTCATTCTTCGTTCTTCAAAAGGTAAAGAAATAAAAATAATCAAAATACACGTAAAGGTAAATTGGAAACTCCTTAGCTAATTCATCTATGATTACTATCTTGGAATCAGAAAAAAAAAAAAAAACTACTGTATATGAGCAGGGTTGAAATATCCGGATCATTTCGAAAAAGAAAATTAGTCAGCAGAGGAGGTTGGTTTAAAAAGCTTATTAGTAATTCGACCTAACAAAATGTACTTGTAAACGGTCATGAAAGGTTATGACAGTGACCGATTTCGGTCGGTCATAGACTTCTGACCAATCGGTTGACCGACTGATTTTGAGGGTTTGACTGTCTTAACAACAATCATTTCAATAATGTATTTTTTTATAGAAAATTATAGAAAACTGTCTTAGTAAACACGGGGTGTATGAACACGGGTCATATGAAATACATATATATATAAACTTATGATCGTTTAGTTGAGGGTTAGTTTAGCGTTAGTATACAGATTAGTTTGCTATTTATCACGTAGCATCACACTCTATTATGTTTCGTTTTTACTAATTAATCTGGGAACTTACTAAAATTAATTTTTTACTAAAAATATTATTTCTCACCATCTCATGTGTTCACGACCCGTGTACGATTAGAAATTGCCTTAATATTAATAAGACAAAATGTTAAATTAACCATTCGGTCGATCAAAAGGTTTGACCATCATAACAACCGTTACCCATCCCTACGTATGACGTGCTTTTCTCAAGTTTTTTTTTTTTTTTTTTTTACCTTCTCCAAGCTCTCTTTCATGATTTTACTGCTCTCCTTTCCCAAAATGGTATCAAGTTAAGCCTTCTATTACTACAAATGAAGAAATACATCACTTCGAGATTTTCAAGTTCAAACGAACATGACAATGTAAATTTTTTTTAATGCATTTTTAGATTAGCTAAAAATTATATGTTGTATTTAATACAACCCAAAAATCCGAGTTGAATATTTAAGGAAATCAGAATTTTCATCATTATTATTTCTATAATTGTTTTAATATAAAATTTCGTATTTACTATTCTTATTTATAAGCAGATAAGAAATTCCACCTGTATATACATAATACCGATGGGAATCATAATAAAAGCTCCTCATATAATATTAAATAAATAAATATTAAAAAATTTTATTTATTACGCTTATAACTTCATTTTTTTTTTAAAATAAAAAAATAAATAAATAAAAACAATCAAATAGATCCATACATTATTTAAAGGGAGATACCATTTTCTTGTAAAAATGTAGTTGCTCTGGGATCACCCTTTAAGAAAGCGATTTTAAGATAATTAATTCCTTTTTCTTTAGTTTTTTTAGATTTACCTTTATAATACATTTTTCCTAAATTGAATAAAGCTGAGATATTTTCATTTTCTGCCGATTTGGTTAAATATTCCAAAAAAATTTTCTTATCAGAATCTTTAAAAGCCATGGCATAGTTAAATTGAGCCTCAGCATTACCAGCATCCGCTGCAATTTTATATAATCTTGTAGCCTCTTTTCTGTCTTTTTCGACGTGATATCCCTCCCATAAGTAATATGCTTTCCAATAAATTGCTGTTTTATCACCAAATTCCGCGTGAGCATTAAAACAATCCCAACATTTTTTACATTGTTCTTTTGTTCTTGATTCTTTATTTTTCCTTGCGTGAAGTTCAATTCCTTTGCTTAGAGGCAACAATTCTACTACTTCTTCATCATCATCGTCATCCTCAAGATTTAACTCCAAATTTTCATCGTATTCAATATCATATTCCGTATCAGAAATGTTTCGTGAAATTTCCAAGGATGTAACGGTGACAGTTTTATTTTGTTCATAAGGGACCATTGGACTAATTCCCTTGTTAGAACGGGATTTAACCAATGATTCAAGAATTCTGGTAACGGCTGGATCTTTTGGACGGATCCGATGGTCTTCTTGCCATGCTAATGTGATAATTTTGGTAAAACCTTCAATAATATCACTTGGTCCTTTCTCAAATTCCAAAGTCTCTCGATTTCCTTTGAGAACATGTTCTTCTATGCCTTCAGGATCAAGATTTTCATATGGAATTCTATTAAAAGAAAGTTCCCAAAGGAACATTCCAAAACTGTACATTTCGCACGCATAGTTATATGGATTTTTTGTGTTAAGTTTTTTAAGTTTTTCTGGTGCCATCCAACGAACTATTTGTAGAAGGTCCGAGATTTCACGAGATTCGGTATTTAATTCACGACTGAGATTAAAATTAGATATTTTGCACTTATAACCACTAGTTACCTAACAAAGACAAAAAAAAATATATATATATATATTATCTTTTTAACATAATGATTAACCATGGATTTACTTGAAACTAACCAGCATATTTTCCGCCCTTACATCATGGTGCAAAATACCTGTTATAAAAAGTAAAAAAAAAAAAATTTAGTAAAATTGCGGAATTAGAAATTCCGAACTTTTCGGAAAAAAACTTACCAATGGCATGAAGGAAACCAAGGCCTTGAAAAACATCTCTTGCAATGTTTAATTTGATATCCCATGAAAGTTTATGATGTTCGTAAACATATTTTAAATTATTTAATTCGGCCCATTCCAAAATCAAACAATCTCCAATATCCAATTTTGAAATCCCATAAAATTTAATCACGTTAGGAACATTCATGTAATTTATTCCAAATAGACAAAGTATTACGAATCTTTTTTGAAACAGGAGTATCATCTTGGATAGATTCAATTTTTTTACATGCCACATCAAGATTTTTATATTTCCTCAATTCGATATCTTCATGAAATTCGGAATTTTCCGGAAGTGAAATATCATTTGGATGAATCTCTGGTGGTCTTAAATCATCGAGAAGCTTATCATCTTTAGAAGTATTTTTATCTATACGTTCAACTAATTTAGTTAGAAGAGAAATATTTCCTCCCATATTATTAATAGTTTCATAATGTTTTTTATATTCTTCTAATTCCAATTTATATTCAATATCTTCTTTTTCACGACTAATAATATGATCAATGGATATAGCAAGGTGCAATGCCTTATAAGCATTATCAAACTCATCTCTTATTTCATTAAATTGATTTGTAACCGCATTAGCAATAAAATATTTTTTAAACCCTTTTGTCCCAGAAATATTTGCAACAAATGTTTTAATATGTTTTAATACCTCAATAAAATAAACCAATGCATTTTGATAACTCATTTGTCGTCGAGATTTATTGTTATCATCATTCACGTGTCTTTTCAATAGTTTTATTGACGTCATTGCCAAATCTACCTAAAATTTATTAAAAGAAAAAAAAATTTTATTGTTTTTCGTTCATTCTTTTAGATCTTAAAAAAAAAAAAAAAAAAAAAAAAAAAAAAAAAAAAAAAAAAAAAAAACAAAAACAAGCATTACTTACCCTATCAGCCATTAACCTGCAAGTCTTTTCATTGTATGTTGCATTTTCATGAATTTTCATAATTTCGTCTGACAAGCTAATGATACTGTCTAAATACGGTACAATTTTTGTAATTTCCGCAGCAGTCTTCAGAATCTTCATTCCATTAACCTTGAAACATTCCTTGTTGGACACTTTAAATTTTGACATCTTATTAATCATTCTGAGACCTTTAGTTTTATCTGATTTAATTTTGCCAGGTTCGACGTTTATTTTGGGTGAACTTTTACTTAAAAGATGCATTTTGTTCGGACCTGCGAACGATTTTAAAAGGATTTTTTTTAAAAAAAAAAGATAAAATGAAATTATGTAGATGTTTATGTTATTTTTTTTTTTTTTTTTTTTTTTAATAATAAAAATTATTCTTAAAGATTTCAAGATATTTATAGTTTGAGATTGATAGCAATTTATGAACCTTGTCATTTCCTTACAAGGGAACAAACAATGATCATTTGTTTTAATTCCTTTTTACAAACGCAGACAACGTCTTACATTGTCAGGAGGCGGACAATCAATAAATATGTATCTCATTTTCCCTACAAGGAAACAATTAAACGCATACAATGTCCTGCATATTTGTTTTGGAGTTCTAAATATTTTTAATAAAACTTTATTGGTGCATTCAGATCAAAAGCGTTAAAAATTATAATTTACTTTCTAACCAAATTTGAATGTTCGTTTCCAAAAAAAAAATAAAATAAAGAAAACCTGAAACACCCTTGTTTCCAAATTCTTTATAATCTCAGATTTAATAATTCTGAACGCCCCTCGAATTTTTATTTCATGATGATTACTTCATATGATCCGTATCCCCCCGTAAGCTTTTTCAGACCAAATTGGATTGTGCACAATTAATTATTCATCAAATTTGCCCAACATTTTTTTGTTTAAATTTATTCCTTGCGGTTTTAATATTAAGTAAAACCTTTTCGAATAAATTTTCTTTAATCCTTTTTTCATAAAGTAAGTATGAATGATCAATGTGGAGATTCTCTTAGAATATCCCGAATTAAATATTGGTACTACTTTTTCTTTTTTCGTGGTGTAAAAAAAAGTCATTAGCAAGATATCATGTGAATTACGTTTTTTTTACTATTTTATATAAATAACATTATTATAGACGCGAGTACTCAAATAACATACTGTATAATAGACGCGTTATTTTTTTTTAATTTTTTTTATTAAACATTTAAAATATTAAATAATTGTAACATTATAATTATACAAATTATTTTAAAATTATACTTAATTGTGTTAAAGAATTGTAAAAAAAAAAAAAAAAAAAAATTCCTGCACTACATATACTTAATATCTAATATGTATTATTGGTTAGTATAGTATCTACAAAATACCTAGGCCTAGCTAGAAGTTTAAAAATACAATCTATAACTTAAGCAAATTATTTAAATAAAATATATATTAATTAGTTGATTAATTCTAATTATCTTTATTTATTCAATGAATCCTCATCATTATTATTACTATTAACTTTGGTGGGTTTTAATGGTTTCCAATTTATATTATTACCTTTTGGAACGGAAAATTAAAGTCATTGAAGGAATATGAATTTAATAAAATTAATGATTTAAACTAAAATAATTTACCTGTTTGTAATGTAATCGGAACAATTGTATTAGAAGTAGTAGAAAAATCTATTAACTGATTATTATTATTATTATTATTAACATTTTTTGGCTTAATTGATGATGTACCTAAAAATCAAATAAATTAATAAGTAAGACTTCATTTTATATAATTATAAAAAAGTTAATTATTTACCTAAATTATCCTCAAAGCTTGGTACACGTGTTAAAAATTCTTCATCCTCCTCCAAAAATGGGTTTGATTTATTATTAGACGTAGACCTTTGATTTGAACTTATTGTCTTCGTGGTATTTTTATTATTAGAATTTACATTATTATTAACGTTATTACCATGGTTCGTTTTAATTGGAGTTAATATATTAGAGGTTAATGAATTAGGTTTTGGCGGAGGAGGGGGGATTGTTTTTTGCACAAAGTTTTCGTGAAACGGATTGCTCGAAATATTACGGAATTCCTTATCAATATCATGCTTATTGACAATCAGAGATGTTTCAGAGGAAGAGGAAGCTTTTGTTCAAAAAAAAAAATATAAAAAAAAAAAAATGTAATAGTTGATTCTGACGGAAAACATTATTATAAAGTTTTTATTTAAACTTGATTTACCTGAATCATTTATCCACCATTGATGTGTCTCCGAACTTGGAGGAGGCACTAATGAAAAATGAAATTAATTAAATAAATAAAGTAAAAAAAAAAAAAAAAACCGCAATATATTTATAGATACTAACAATTTTCTTCCTTTCTGTTGTTTTTACCGTCAAGATCGATCAAAACACCAACAACAGGTTCAACTTTGTTTTCTGCAAGTTTCTTTTTAATAATTCCATTACCAAATTTATCCCCTAGCAAAGGATTGTTGACTTTTCTGACATTCTTTGCTACTTTATTCCATGAGCCTTCGTCATTTGATGAAGTGTTGGGATTGGCTTGTGAAACAAGCTTCAATTTCTCAAAATATAAATCTCTTTGTATCTTTTCTTTAGCGGCTTCATCATATTTGATTACCTGATAGATGAATATTAATGAGCTAAACATATTCAACATAAATAGAAAAAAGCAAAAAAAAACGGGAAATAGGTTGTGGGCTTACTTCAATATCAAATGATGACATTACTAAAAGAATCAAGTTATGGTAAGACGTATAAATTATAAAAAAAATTAATAACTCCGACAAAATTCGAAAATATATTACCGGGTCGATGGTCTGACAACCTTATTTCTGCTCGTGAATATCCAATTTGCTGAATCTTATTACCAGAATACAGGATTCGATCTATTAAACAGGAATAGAAATGTATGAAAACTAAGAAAAAAAAAATAGTTGAAATCAAATACAACTACGACTAACCGGTCCAAGCCGGGACCCGAGCCTTCTCGCTAAGAAGATACAAAATAAATAAATTACATGACCATAATATTGGAAGATATTAAATGAAATTCATGTACCTTGTATCATAATTATCGGTGCCATTATCAAATTTATAAGTTGGATAAAAAGTTATAGGACCTTCTATGTATTCGGTAAATGACTGACCCCATTCGATTTGCTTTGTTAACTACAATTAACACATAACATGAGCTATAACTTCCTTTTAAAAATAGGTTAAAATATTTATAAAAATACTGTATAAAGATAATTACCTGATCGGCCTTTAACAGTTTATTAAAGTTATTATCTGCTATGAGGTTTCGAACCTAGGATGGAAAAGACAAATAAGCATATTATACATAAATATAAACTAAATCAATTTGGTATAAAAAATTACAAATACCTCCTCGTTGCCCAAGGATATTCGATAATTGAAGTCACCTAACCAGATAATGATTCTACATAAAAATAAATAAAGGGATATTTAATATTCGGTATAATAATAAACCTTCAAAAAATAAATTATAAGATCCTTACTCATGATGTTCAAGACGACGACCATTTCTGAAAAGCAAGCCATCATGTATAGTTTTGTAATCTCTATTTCTTTCTTCCCAATTCGAATGCCCTAAATTAATTAAATAGTTATATTAAAACAAATAAATAACTAATTAATACATAAATATGAACTTAACTCTATTTCTTACCAGAAGCTAAATGTGCGGTAACAAAACACATACTCGTGTCATGGTAATCAAGACGAATAGCAACAGCTCCTTTATTTCCTGCCATCCCACCCAATCCAGTCTGCAATATATTAACGAAATTTTCAATCTGAATGTCTAAACGAATAATTAAATAAAAAAGTAGAAAAACTAACTTTTTTCATTAAATATTCCACATTACGTATATTGGATACTATATCTGATCTTGCATATATAACAAGAGCTGTTCCAACAAGTTGGCCGGATCTCAAGATGACATAATCAGAGCGTTTATTAGGTCGACGTTCTAGTGTTTCGCTTATCTCTTTTTCCCAAATTCGTCTAATAATACATAATCAACTAAGTTAACCAATATAAAATCATAAATATTAAATAAATATTACTTACAATTTTTCAGGATCTGCTGAAACAATCTTTTTATATTTAATTATTTATTATTTATTTTAAATTTTAAATTAAAAAAAAAAGGTCAGAAAATATTCAACACTAACTCTTAACTTGCAAACCGTAAAATAAATACCTGCTGGGGCATCAGTTCAACAATCTCTTGAAACCCAATAACATAAAGTTCGGGTTCTGGATCATCTATAATTATATGAATAAGAAAATAAAATTACCAAAAATATTACAGGTATTATTAAATTTTATATAAAAATTTTACATACGATAGTCAAAAGCAAAAAGCCAAGATGACAATGACTCTCCATGTGGCAAACGTCCGTTGAGATTATATGAACCTACGAATACATTTATTGAAGATTTTGTTGAAAAGTCGTTTGTCCTATAAAGTAACAAATTATAATAAATAAATAAAATCATTTAATAAATAAATAAATTAATTAATTAGGCACGATTATATACCTTTTTTGCATATCCTCCAATACTAATTCGTGAACAGGGTCGTGTATCTCGATTACTTTTTGATACATTAATTTTCCCTGTAATTAATGAAGAATTAAGTCAAAGAATATACAAATTTAAAAAATAATTTTTGAAAAAGTTACTTACAAGTAGTAAATCGATAACTTCTTGTTTTGACTTATCTTGAAAGTTATTAATATAAAACCTATTTACAGACTTGGTCGCATCTCCAAGTACGCCTGTAAAATAACATACAAATCAATATCCAACTTGAGAATAACTAATAAAAAAACTGTATACAACAAGTACGATTACCTGACCAAGTAAGCTTTCCGCTACGGGTAAACTCCGACTTAAGAGCCCCTGTACCTGCATAAATTTTTGACAAACTGTCTCCGTTTTCGGCCCATAAGTAAGAATGTCGAGAAAAGAGACCGTCCGTGTCATATCTCGTGAAGGACAATATTTGTCGAAGATACAAGTCCAATATAGTTTTCGAAATAATTGTTTGAACAACATTGGTTCTGATAAAATTATAATTGTTTAATTATTTTAGTTTTTGTAAATGTTTAAATCAAACATTGAAAAAAAAATTATACCTGTCCAAGCTAATATGATCCGATATAAAATGGTAATCAAAATTAATAAACTCTCAACATCCAAACAAATATAAAATTATCAACGTACCAATCCACACAGTTCGTTCTAAAAACACCCTTTTGATAGAATATGGGCGAATTCGTTTCCTTATCCAACACAAAAAAATTAAAAAACTCCAATCTTTCTCGAATTTGGCTTAACAGTAAGGAGACGTTGTCATAACTTCCATTCTTACAAACAGTATGGAAATCGAAATTTGTCATGCGTACACGATTCTCGATGCCGTTTCCATTTAGACTATCAATACGCTCTTTATATTCTTTACTTAAAACTGATTCACCCTCTTTTATGCCAAGAAGGTTGATTACATCTACATCACCATATCTACTCTGTAATTCATTAAAATGGCGTTCGACTGCTGGTTGTGTCGCTGCAGGTCCACGAGAAATCTGAATTTTGTGCGACATAACTTGGAGACCCTATATATTAAATGAACAATAAGTACCACTATTGCTAAGTATATAATTAAATAATATTGAATGAATTACTTGTTGTTCCCAAAATACTGTTTTAATTAATAATAAATATTATATATTAGAATTAATTAGATCTAAAAATTAATCAGATAAAGTCAATTTCTTTTCATACCAGGAACACTGCCACGAATTTGCACATACGAGAAACAAGTAGTAGGCATTTGCAAGATGGTTTCGGTCTAAAGAAGGTTAAATTAGAAGATCAATATATTGTGATTCTGATGAGAAATTTTGTATTCAAAGCATAGTAAAAGGTTGCCGTGCTAATTTTCAATGCAAACATCCATAAATTAATAAAAGACTTACCTCTACAAAATTCGCAACTTTCCCGTCGTCATCAATTCCGCGAGTGTTGTACCGCGTGCCTAAAAAATTAAAATGATTAACATTTTGAACAAAATACGAAAAAAAAACAAAAATGATTTAACATACCAGCACGTTTACAACTTAATTTAGATATAACTGATAAAGATACTGGCATTGACCCCATAATTGTTTCTTGCCTGCCGATATATCCTTGAATGGCAAGTACCTAAGATTGAGAATAAGTTTACTAACAAGAAAAACGCGAATAAAATGTAACTGTATATTCCAACACGTATACTAACCAAAAATCCACAACGATCCATATCTGCCTGATTTGATTTGCTTAGTTTGGATCGAAAATTCAATAACTCTTTAATCATATATTTATTCCATAAGAAATTATCATCAAAAGAATATTTATCTGCTGCTGTCATCGTTATTCTATAGGATCAAATAATGTTAAATTCTTCGGTAAATTGTTTAAACACAAAATATTAAATAATTCGTACCTTGCGGCCAAAGTTCTTGTAAGATCAAAATCTGATGAAAAATAGAAATGTCCATTTGATAATAACTTTTTGAGTGGTGCACATAGATTTATGTAATTTTGTACAGGTTGTTCACTTTGTGGACTCAATATCCCATCCTCATCATATATTCGAGTGGAGCTATATGATGCATATGAGTTTGACACAGAATCGTAAGAACTGTTTGTGAGTGAATAAAATTCTACGTCTGATATTCGATGCACTGACTCTCCCGGTCTAATTTCTCCAATATGTTGGCAATCTGTTACCACTGCCATAAACATATCTTAAAATCCATACAAAAGTCGTATTTATTACAATATAGAAATTTAATTAATTATCTACTAAAACAATTTATTGACTACAAAAAATCTTGCATACTATAAATACCTTTTTCAACTTGGAGTAACCCAAGACAGCCATATACAGGCCTTGGACTAAGCTGTCGATATTCGCTTTTATTAAATTCGGTGTCCTTTACAAGTGTGACATTGCATTGAGGACGTTGGCGGTCATAGGTTTTATGGGTATTTTCAAAGACTAATGCTGAATTAGATACGTCTGAATTCGAATTGTAATTATGAGAGGGCTGCAATGCAAGTGCACGAGGAGAGTCCCGAACAAGCAAAACGCATTGCATTATGAAATTCTCAACGTTAAATACAAAATTTAAAATTGATGTAATTTTTCGTTTATTTTATAACTGCCAATGTAAATTTAACCATTTTGGTAAGTCGTGGTGCGTGATCGGGCTTCATATTTGGTAACGAATCAAATCATTGAAAGGGAAACCACGTGAGAATTAATACATGCATACCCGATTCTTGTGAATTTATTTAGATTTTTAACAAAATGACAGGAGAAATTGAAACAACCGAAAAACAAATTACACACGTGCCAACGACCTCAAATGAGCAGTTATTTGAAAATTTATTAGGAACATTTAATGAAGAGGTAATTTTTTTTACCTATTACCTTTTAGTTTTGATTACACTAATTTTTTCTTTAATTATTAGGCATTTATTAATGATGAAAATATACCTGATGATAGTTGGGAAATTTCTTTCGATGAAGTGGATGGTATTTAATCATTTTTATAAACTATTATATTATTATTATCTTGACTCATTAACTTGATACAAAAAGCTAAAATATAATTATATAAACTTTTTTCTAGACCATATATCTTTATTTCAGGAAGATGAATTCGTTCGTGAGGCTTTTGCAAAAGTATGAAATTTTTTTCAACAGCTCATTTCTTTTTTAATTTTTTGACTTAGTTTAATTATTAGGGAATGGATCTGCGAGAATATGCTAGAAATATCGAAAAAGAATTAAGTGGAATTGAAAGAGAACATGAAGTTGATTGTATCTTTTTATAATATATGTCGATTTATATTCAATATTTTCGAATTCCATACCAAATCCTTAACTACTTTTACCTTATCTCAAGATATTAGTCAAGCAAAAAATTTTGTAGAATTACATAACCAAATTCAGGTTTATAAAATTTATTTTTTATTTAATGAATTACTTTCTGAATATTAAATATGAATTATGACTAATGATTTAATGTTAATAGTCCTGTGATCAAATATTAGCAACAATGGAAGATATGCTAAGTGCTTTTCAAATGGATTTAGGAAATATAAGTTCAGAGATTCAAACTTTACAGACCAAATCAATTTCGATGAATATCAGACTTAAAAATCGAACAGTAAGTTATAATGTATAACCGGTATTTTTTTCTAAAAAAGAATCTATTTATATATTTATTTTAATATTCTAGGCAGTTGAACAAAAATTGAATACTGTTTTGGAAGGGACTGTTATTCCTCCGCAAATGATCAAGTAATAATATATTATTTTGTAAATTTATTAGGTCATTTTTATGTCTTATACTAAATTGTGTCTTGTTTAGAAAAATTACTGAAGGGGACGTTGATGAAATTTGGCTTTCTTATTTAACCGAATTAAATAAAAAGATGACTTATGTCAAACGCAATCAAAAAAAGAATGTTAAAGCAATCAAAGATGTTGGACCAGAATTGGAAAAATTACGATTAAAAGTATGATTTTAGCTTTATTTCCTATTTAAAATCGGAATTTATTAAATATATACAAATTGAATTTTAGGCAACCGAAAAAATACGGGATTTCCTTTTAACAAAAATTAGGTCGCTTCGTATACCTAATACTAATATTCAGATTTTACAACAATCAATTTTGTTAAAATATAAAACACTTTATCAATTTTTAATGGAAAGATATAGTGATGTTGCTATAGAGGTTATGCATACTTATGTTAACACAATGCGTTGGTACTTTTTCAATCATTTTGAAAGATATAATAGAGGACTACACAAATTACAGGTAATTGAAATGTTTGAAATATTTGAATCTTGATATTTAAAACTTATCATTATTATTATTATTTTTTTAGAGTCCAATCGCCGATAAATATGATATGATGGGTTATGATGAGAGTGTTCGAAAAGGTATTTATTTTATATATATTTACTTTCTCAAATGAAAAGGTTTAATATTAATGTTTCAATTTTGCAGTTGGTCTTTGGGGAACTGGAAAAATTGCCCTACAAGATAAAGCAAATATTTATATTTTAAAGGATAGAATTAAAACGCTTCGAAATCAGGATGCAGGAGTTATATTGGTTCATGTTGCCGAAAACAAGAGCAAAGTAAGGCTATTCACGGTTAAATTATATTAATTTGATTGATATTTATGTATTAACAAATTACCTATTTTGATAGGGATATCCATATGAAGCATTGTTTAGAAGTTTTAATTTAACCTTTATAGACAATGCAAGCTCAGAATATCTTTTCATTGTAGAATTTTTCGCAAAGGATGATAATCCCAATGCAGAATTGGCAAGGGACTTATTTGCTGAAATTTTCGATACTACAATCAAAATGGGATTGGTTCGTATTTAATTTTGTTATGAATTTATTTCTTTGAAATAGTTTTTTACTTAATAAAAATTATAGGATTCTACCAAACAATTTGTTGACAATAGTTATGATGCTATTGGAATCCTTCTATGTATTAGACTTAATACACAATTTGCATTAGAATTGCAGAGGAGGAAAGTTCCAGCTTTAGAAGGATATACCAATCAAATAAACATGTTATTATGGCCTAGATTTCAGGCTATTATGGATATGCATATTGAAAGTGTTAAAAAGGCTGCTACTAAATTGGTCGTTAAAGACATTCACCCACACTTTGTAAGTTTAACTATCAATGAAATTTAGTAAATCTTGGGATAATTCCTTTATATTAAATTAAGTTTTATAATTAGATAAGTCGAAGATATGGAGAATTCGCAGCATCAATATTAATTCTAAATGAAGATTACAATGATCCAATTTTGTTAAATAGGTGAGTTAATAATTAATCATAAAAATAATTTAAAATATAACTAAATATTTACAAATTTAATTTTATTCTAAACAGTCTTTCAAGATTAAGAAATGAAGTTGAACAATTCTTTGATAGGATGTCGAATAATTTTGATCGCAAAAGCCGAATTATATTCTTGATTAATAATTATGATCAAATCATGACTATATTAAATGTAAGCTTTATAATAATAATATATATTTTTGGAATGATTTAAAGATATTTATTGATATAATTTATAGGAAACTGGTGGTAAAGCTGTAGAAGCAGAAATTATACATTTTAGAGATTTATTGAATGGACAAATATCGGGATTTGTTGAAGAAGAATTACAACCTTATTTTGAAAGTTTAATATCTTTTATCAAAAAAGTTGATCAAGGAAAGGATTTAACAGCTACGGAGCCGGGTATGAAATCTCGAGATATATTCAAGATTTCAACATTTATGAGTATTCATTAATCTTTTATTTTAATTTTATTCATATAGAAATATTTGATCAAGTATCATCGGATTTTGCTTTAACATGGAGAAAATCTATAGCATTAATAAATACTTCAGTAATTCAACATTTCACCAATTTCAAAAATGGAACGACAATATTACATGCAGTATTAGGACAATTAATTATCTATTATACTAAGTTTTGTAATATTTTAGAAGCAGCATTAAGAGATGGTAAAGTTAGAATTAGACATCAGCCTGTTAATGTTCAAAGCGTTATGGTGGAAATTAAGAAATTTAGAAGTAATTTTTAATTTAAATTTAAATTAAACCATCTTGTTCATCAGCGGCCAACTGAATATCATGAGCAATATAATTTAATCTCATTCATCATTATACCAAAGACTAATTATCACTTGCTTTGGAAATCTTTGGAGTGCAATACTTCGGGTGCTAAATAAGGTAATACCCCTAAATTTCTTCTCGGGACGCATCCCGTGATACATGATTATTATCTAATATATACTAATGACCTCGACTGAAATTCTCATACCAAAATTGTTTTACAATCATATTACTTAGTTTCGCTTAATTATTCGATCTTCTTAGCAATCCTGTAATAAAAATGCGTTATTAGTATAGCTATGACTGAATAAAAAAATGCCGAAAATAATCCATACCTCATAATGTGATATATGTGAAGTTTTTTTACACTTAGGTGCAGTTGATCGATTTCGGCTTTTTTCATCATATTACAAAAATTGAAAATCTAACCCGGGTTATATGCAATTCTGACCTAAAACGAATAAACGCTTCCGAGTAATATCGCATTTTTTTGATCCACATGACTACAAGTTACATACCACACGTTTGTAAGATGTTGCTTGACACTCCGTGATGTAAATAATCTCTGTCATTTCTGTGTTAGGTCGAAGATGATGAAAAATTTTTCGATATACAGAGGGGGGACAAAAATATTGCACGGTCAAAATTTACCCAATTTAATAAATTGTTAATATGTAACTGGCAATGTGACTTTTATACCATATTTGCTATATATTTCCTAAATAGAATATTTGTTTATTGTTTTGATTTAATATGTTAAAGATTGCAAAAATCGGGTTTGAAAATCTCTACCATTTTAACTTTGCGCACGCGATGGGTCTTGCTAGAATTAACTCCTATACAAAAGGGAGGCATTATTGAAGCCAAAGAATTAGGCCACAACAATACAGAGATTGCAAAAGCTATAGGATGTTATCGAACAACCATTACAAGGTTTCTTGCAGCTTATGAATCTGAAGCACTTCTAAAAAATGACCAGGTTGACCCTGCTTGATCGATAGCCAAAAAAGGCAAAGATTGAAGGCAATGGTTCTCAAAAATAAAGAACCAAGACGAAAATCTAGTAGAAATTACTAATATATTTTCTGCTAAAATTAATAAGCCAATCTCTACAAAAACAATTCATTGTGCACTTTACAAGGAAAATGTGCATTCCTGTATTCCTCAAAAGAAGCCTCTCATCTCAGCAATCAATAAAAACAAATGACTTGCATAGGCAATAAAAAGAAGACATTGGACTGTAGAAGACTGGAAAAAGATAGTTTAGACAGATGAGTCTACATTTTCACAGTTTTGAAAAACTGGATGGGGAAGAATGTGAAGAAAACCAGAAGAAAAATTTAATGAAGATTGCATTGCATCAACAGTATAACATTCTCCTCAAAGAATGTTTTGGACATATTTTTTCTTTTTTAAAATTAGGTCCTATTATTCCACTTGAAGGTTCAGTAACTAGAAATGTATATAAAGAGGTACTTTTCACTTATGTAGTTCCTACACTTAAAGCATTTTCCTAACAAATCAAAAAAATTCATTTTTCAGGAAGATAATGCATCAGTTCACACATTGAAGATTGCACAAGAGTTTCTGTATTCTCAAAATATAGAGGTGCTTCTATGGCCTGCTCAAAGTTCCAATCTCAACCCAATTGAGAACTTGTGGGCTGTAGTTAAGGTAGTAATTCAAAACATAACTCTCAATCATCAAGCATTCGTGACCTTAAAAAGGTGGTAAAATATATTTGGAAAGTGATATCACAAAAAGTATATCATAATTTGGTACAATCAATGCCAAATAGAATTCAAGTGTGATCGATGATAAAGAAGGATATGAGGCCTTTGCAATAAAAAGGGAGGAAACTCAAAAAAAAATAAAAAATGAGTTAATAATAAATCTGAACAAATTATAGTATTTAGAACATTTTTGGCTTATAAACTAAAATTTTAATTTTTTTAGAGTTTCCTCCCTTTCTATTGCAAAGACCCCATATACTAAATCTTGATATATTATTTGTGAATATAAAAAAAAATGATCTGCTATCCTAATAAAAAAAAAATTTTATTACAAAAATAAAACTATTGCAATATTTTTATCCTCTTGGTAGTAAAGCAAGCATGACATTTTATAGTAAAGGAAAATTGTGTTTTATTTATATCGGATCTATCCAGAAAAAACTTCAAAAGTGAATAACATTTACTTGAAAAATTTCCATAGCTTCTTTATATAAGGTAATCCACTATAGCTTATATTGATATCTTTCATAAAATAAATAAATAAAAACCTCAAATCAAAATAATAATTGATAAGAAAAATTTTTTTTATTAATGAAATTAACTTTGGAGTTATAAGTAAACTTATTCACTATAATAAATAATATACTTTTAGAAAACCTTATAAAACTTAAAATTTTGTATTAAAAAAATTTACATTTTTTTGCTATAATAAAGTTTTAATTATTTAGTTATAAATTATTTTATTACTTAAAAATTTCATATTAGTTGCTATAGTTACTAGTTGTTTTGAAATAATTTAGTAAATTTAGTAATTTTTTATCACTTTATTCTTATTTAATTTAATAAATTATAAGAAATGATAATAAATCATTTAAGAAAAATAATTGGTTAATCTAAATTTTGTTAGATTAGGCTAATTTGTTGTCTATAGATGAGGGATGAAACCCCTTAATAACAGTCAAAACTTAGACAAAATTATATTAAAATCATAATAAGAGATACAATAAAACTCATTTGATATGACGAAAGCTGAAACTATCAAAACTATATTAAAAATATAGAAAAGGATATGACAAAATTATTTTGAGAAGGTTTTAGCAGATATCTATACTATTATCTTAACCTAAAATTAACTTAAATTCTACTGATATAACTAAAGATAGCACTGCAACTAATTGCAACTGGTGACAAATAAGTATCACAGAATTACAACTAGTTGTAATTAGTGACAAATAAGCATCACATAGTTGCAACTAATTGCAGCATCATCTTAGATTTAACCTTAATTTTCAGATTAAATCAAATCAGATAAATAGATAACCTGATCTAATTTAAAATTTTATTAATAATATAAGATTTTCAATTTATTATAATTATATATTTATTTATAATATAGAATAAATTTCATTAATAAAATAAAAAATTTTCTTATGATATTAATATATTACAATTTTAGGTTTTTAATTTATTTTATAAAAGTATATATCGATATTATTTGATATCAAAAAAATATTCTAATAGATTTTGATAATATAAAATATTTTAATTAAGTCAATTATTTCTTTTTTTTTTTATTTCTTCAATTTTTTATCTTTTTAATTCTTTTGCTTTTCTTTATCTTTACCTAAATTGCAAATTTTTAAATAAATTTTTGAACTTTTTGATATACTTAAATATTTATATTTTTAAAGATTAAATTGTAATTTTGAATATTATAAAGAATTTTATTAATATATTAAAATTTTAAAAAATAATTTGAAATTTATTACTATATTTTGCATATTAAAGTAAGTTATTAACAGTATAATATTTATCATCTTATTAAATAATATCACTATTTTTCTTTTAATAGAATTATACTTAATTTATAAAAGTTTAAATTCAAATATTAATTTAATTTGATTTATTAAATTTTGATTTTAATTTTGATTTTAATCTAATTTTATTAATTTTAAATTCAAGTTCTGTTAGATTAAGATTAAAACTAAATTTTTTTTTTAAATAAATTATTTAATTTTAAAAGAAGCAAAAAAGTTTTTTTATATTTAAAAGAAATAATTTTTCAATTTTAAAAAAAACTAAAAATTTAATAAAAAAAATATTTTTTAGAAATTTTTAGCTAAAAATTTTCTTTTTATTAAAAAAAAAACAATATTACAAGTTGAAAAATTTTTTATTAAAATAAAAGTTTCTTTTAGAACCTAAATCTTATTTTTTTTAATAAAAAGAAATTTTTTTATATTTTTTTAAGTTAAAATACTATTTTTAATTTATATTTAAATTTAAATGTTAGATTTAAACTAATTTCTTCAATTTTAAATTTAAACTAATTTATCAGATTTAAATTAAATTCAAATTTATAAAAATAAAAATATATTAAATCAGATTTTATTAATATCTATTTTGATCTGATTTTATAAAATATGAATTTTATAAAAATATTATATATAAATATAATATAAAAATGATATGTTATTAATACATTTTTAGTAATTCTATATTACAATTCTATATATTAAATAATAAATTGATTTTTACATATTTTTTAAAATTAAATATATTGAAATTATATAGAATTATTAAATATTTAATTTATGTAATTTGATAATCAATTACAGTTGCATAATTAATATCATGAACTTTAAGTACTTTAATTAAAATCTATTGCTTTTTATTTTTAAGTAAAAGTTATTTAACAGGTTTAATATTATTTATATCTAATTTTTCATTAATATTGATTTAATATTTATGTAAAAAAATATTTTTTTTATAACTTTATTAAATAAGTTATACTATTTTAACTTTACAGAATAATTTGAGGCACTTTAGTCAAAATTAATTACATTTTATTTCCAAGTGAAAATTGTTCAGCGAATTTAATACTATTTATATCTAATTTTTTATTAAAATTAATTTAATATTTATGTATTAATATATAATTTAATATATAAAATATTTTTTTTTTATAAATTTACTAAAAAAGTCACACTTTTTTAATTTCACAAATTAATTTAATCACTTGAATCAAAGTAAACTATTTACTGTATATTAAGTAAAGTTACTCTATAGGTTCAAAAATACTTTATATAATATTTATTAAGATTAATTAAATATTAGTTTAATAAGATTTATTTTTTATAATTATATTAATTCTTAAATTTTTTTGTTTTTTTTTTTTAAATATTTATTTATATAATTTATTAAATATTGTATTAATATAAATATATATTATAAAATTAATACTCTTTAATAAAAAATAAGTATATTTAAAAATTATTACTTTATTTTATTATACAGTTCCAGTCAAAAATAATGGTGATTAGAGACATTACTTCTTATATAAATTACAGCAACTCCATTATCCCAATTTGACTCATTGTTTA